CTAGCAAGTGCAAGGTCTTGAGTTTGATTCCCAGTACCACAAAAAGTTAAAACAAAAACCCATAAACTACAAGAAGTTCTGAAATATAAATAAAAATAGTCTTGGAGGGAAGAAAAGCTAATCACAACACTAAACCCATATAACTATTTACAGAAACAGATTGTGGATAAAAGATCAACACATTTGATTACATAAATAAACTTTCTGCATAGTAAAGTCATTCTAAGAAAAAAGCCGAGATAATACTGAGAAAAATATTTACAACTTCCACCAGAGAAAAGGCTAATTAATTTCCCTAAAATAGTTCACACAAGTTAGTAAGTAAAAGATTAGCAATCCAAGAGAAAAATAGTAGGCCCTAGTATGAAAATAAAATTTACAGAAAAGTTTTGGTGGTTGTTGTTGGCTTTCTGAGACAGGGCCTTGCTACGTAATCCAGGCTGGCCTTGGACGTGATATGCAACCCAGGCTGCCCCTGGACTCTGGACCTTCCTCCCCCGACATTCCTGGGATTACAGGTGTGCACTACTGTACGTTTGCCTCGCAAACATACAATAAGATGCTTAGGATTAAAATAACACTAAAGCACCTTCCTTACAATTAAAACATAGTAACCCGCTAGGGAGGTAGCTCAGTGGTAGGGTACCGGCCTGGCATGTGCAAGGTCCTGGGCTACATCCTGAGCATAACAAAACAAAAAACAAAACAACACAAACACTGACCACGCAAACACCGACACCTCATGAGGGAACTGTGTCCTTACACATCCTGGGTAGAAAGTTAAATGGGTACACAGCCTCTAGAGAGAGTAAGCTGGCCAATCTACCTAAGTAACTACATGTAGGCTTGACCCAGAATTACCACTTCTAAAATGATGAGAGTATCAGTGCAAGGTTATTTGTTATAGAGTTACAGGAAGGGGTGGGGGGGAAACTACATGTCCGTTAACAGGGGACTTATTACACAAACTGTAATATGGAAGCATGGAATTCTATGCAGCCACAGACAAAAAATAAAGTTGTATATGGACTGATATGGATGTATCTCTAAGATTTATTTATTGTAAGTGAAAAGAACTTCTTGCAGAATGAAGAGCTAACAAGGTAAGTGAAGCTGTATTTCTGTGTCTGTAAAACCGTTTCCATGAAGACATGGGGGACACTGGCTCTTGGGGAGGGGGTCAGTGGATCACGTAGGAAAGACGTTTTTCACTGTTATCTTTTGAACCTTTTAAATTTGGAACTATACGGGTGTTACTTTTTCTAAAAATAACTTAAATTGGGCTCACTATGGCAAAAGTTACAACTAAGGCAGAAGATAAGAGGGTGCAATCACCGTTCGGGTGCTCAAGTCTTAAGTTTTTAGGAGCTGTGTAGAGATGCTGGCTAATTTTAGCTTATGGGTCAGTCACGTATACAGGGTAGAATTCGAGAGACCACTAAGATCCCATGAATAGAGGAACTTCAGAATTACTATGGTGGAGTGCGACAGCTTAAAAGAAAGTCTTGCAAACAAGAAGGAAGCTACAGAGATGGAACTACATGCAGTGTGGGCTCCAGCACCGGGTCCTGCGGTGGAAAAACTGCTATGTTGTGAACTGCCTGTCTGGCCAGCGTTCAGTTACATAAGATGTCCCTGGAAGGGGAAGCTGGGTGAAAGATCTCCAGAACCCCAAGTTCTCTGAAACTTTTCTGTAACACAGAGCTTTCTTCGAAATAGTTTCTTTTTTCTTTTTGGTCTATTTTGAGACAGGGTCTCACTATGCAGTTCAGGCTGGCCTTGAGCTCACTTTGTAGCCCAGGCTGGTCTCAAACTCGAAACGATCCTCCTGCCTCAGCCTCCAGAGTGCTGGGATTACAGGGGTGCACCACCACGCCGGGCTCTTTTTTTTTTTAAAGCTTTACAAAATAACACTCTAGCCTTCTGACTTCTCTTGGAAAGTGGGCACACCTGGCCTCTGGGTGCCCAGCCACACGGCCTGGGGACTCACCCCACACCTGAGCAGTGGCTGCCCACTCCAGGGCTACTTCACTCATTCACACTGCAAGGCAGGGATGGAAGGTTTGGTCAGCACTGGGCCCCAACCACTCACCCCTGGGTGTTAAACTCGGGGAGCACCGGGCCCAGAGCTCCGGAAGTGCAGCAGCACCAGGCCCTGGGTGGCGGCCGACAAGGCAGTCGCTCCCACTCATCTCCCAGTTCCCGTTCTTGCCGGGTGCCAGGTTTTGCGTCAGCCACGTGCTTGGCTAAACAACCCACTCCCAAGCTCTCTTGCAGCTACAGGGCATGTGACACATTCCAGGCCAATAACATGTAAACAGCAGTCTACTGCGAAGAGCTTCTGTGAAAGCTACTCTTTCCTAATAAAGACAGACTTCTGTCTTTCCCCACTTCCTGCCTGGCTCAGGAATGCTGTCCCTGGAGGGGCAGTGGCCACCCAGGGATCAGGAGAGGACAGGCGAAGAGGTAGACAGAAGGT